GGGGCTCGATCGATCGATCGATCATGGCGGGCGGCAGTTACCTGCCTGGAGCTGCGCCCTCGTGAGTCAATTCGGGTTCCACCGCCGGCGGCTTTTCGGAGGCTGAGGGGGGTGCTGGTGTCCTGGTGGTGGCTGGGCTGCCCGCGCTGCCCACGGGCCTCCCTGACCTTCACTAAGTGAATAAAACCTGGCCAAAGCTGGCCCGCTCACAGGGTGTCCCTTGGGGCACCCAAGGCGGGGGTGGTCGTATGAAATGGCGCTGTGTCACCCAGGGCCTGTGGAGATCTTTCAAGTGCAAATGGTGCCACGAGCTCAACTTCTGAAACACGTTTGCCGTTTACTATTTAAGGCTTCATTGTGTAAAGTGTGATTTTGAGAAGGATGTAGGAAGCTTAGAGCCAGAGCAGCCACATCCAAGTCCTTGGTTTTTAAGGAATTAGAATGGACTTGCAGATCTGGAATTTTTCTTTAAGAGAAGGAAATGAGAAGGATGGCCCCATTAGTTTAACATCCCTGTCAAGGCTAGGCAAACACCTCCTGATGGCCTCAAAAACCTCTGGGAGGAAGGTCTCAGGGAACCAATTTGATCCTGGTGTTTATAATGAGATATTGGTCAAAGAAGATCGTTCCTTGAAGTGGCAGCGTTTCTCATCACAGCATTTCTTTGTGAAGACTTGTAGCTTTTCACACAAAAATGATTGAACACTTTTTTTCTTCCTCAAAGTGCATCTTCATGTTTCTACATTAGAACAATCATTAAGAAGCCTGTAACCCATCACAGCATGATGAAGTACAGGAACTGATTGTGCTGAGCCATTGGTGGGTCCTGCTGTGTCTCAGCCCACCATCACCCTGTTCTCTTTCCTTGCTTTTGCTCCTGAAAGGTACTGTCCTGGTTTTGCCAAGGAAGGGAACGGGTTAAAACAATTGTAAGATTTATTTAGCTTTCTCGTTTTACCATGGGATTTTCAAAGAAATCGCATCCAGTGTGGTTTTATCATACACTGGATTACACTGATTAGAGTTCTTGGGTACTGGAGATAAGGAAAACAATAATACTAAAACTGAGCTACAGGTTATTAAATAAAAACAGTTAATAGAACAAGGAGAAAAGAAAGATGATGATAGCGAAGGAAAGGTTAAAAAGCTATTGAGGAGTTCTGTAGCCAACAGGAACTACATAGTTCATTATACAAGGTTTAACCTGAAGTCATCTTGAAATTCGTTACACATAACTGTGTATCTAAAAAGCTGGAATCCTTTGTTACAGGAGTTATGCTAAGGCCTGAGGAGTTAAGAAATTCCAGTTAAAAACCAAGATTCAGGCTGAAGAGCCTAAAGTTTTAGAGGTATATGAAGCAGCCAGCTGTGAGCATAATGTGTGGAAGCAGCTACTTGCCTGCTCAGGGCAAAACTGGGCTGCACAAGTCCCCTTTGCCAGCTGCTGGAGAAAACTGGTTTTAGACATCC